AAGTGATATTCATTCTGTAAATACTAGGAATAGACACAAGCTAGTAGTACCAGTTACTCGACTCCATCGAGTCAGTAATTCATTTTTGGGGCGATGTAGGTATACGCTTTTACAACAAAATTCCAGAAAATATACAAAGTTTGACCTGCTCAAAGTTCAAAAACTTTATTAAACTAAGTTTGTATAAAAAGAGTTATTATAATATTATGGAATTTATGGATGGTACTAGCCCCTGGAAATGAGGTGATCGCTACCAAGCTATTTCTAATTTGTTGTGTTGTTAATTTGTGTAACATCATGATTGTAAGCTGTTATTTAAAAAAAAACTCCCGCTGGGTTTCTTGCTGTTTCTTCCCAGGACAGAGGTTTTTTCTGAACCAGTGGTAATCAAACAAAAGAGTGACTTTCAATAAGTATTATTTATAATCTATATTGAATAAAAAAGTTTCTGTTTCTGTTTCTGTTCCTTATGCGTGGCAGTGGAGTTTATACCTACCTATGTAAGTAGGTAGGTACTAATTACCTATTTTTTTAACTCCAGAGGCATGTACTTTTCAACACGATGTTTTTTGTACTACTTATTTTGTTTCAGGAAAAGATGCGGGGTACAGCACATTTCAAGTTAATATGAAGCTATGTAATATATAGACTTTTGAGTGCTGTAGAGATCTTTTTAGATTTTTTAATGAATATCTCTGCTCCAATACATTCACAGCCGGATTTCCTACAGAGTCAAAACTGTGCCGACGGTGGGCTGTTTGAAGGTAAAAGGGGATTAAATATACATAATATGAAACGATGCCATAGTAAAAGTATTTCGGCTTCACAGCCTACCGTAGAAATTCATAACTCTATTAGCAATTCCTCTAATGACACAAATTTTTCCCTTTTACATATACATAAACACTCACGCCTGTCACCCAGAGGGGTAGGCAGAGACTACGGACTTCCATTTGGCGCGATCCTGACACACCTCTCTCGCCTCTTTTACATCCATATATCTACGCATACACGCTCGTCGGTTAAGGGTACTCCTAATCTGGCCCATTTTTAATGTATCGCCGATTTGGTCGATAAACCTTCGTCTAGGGCGTCCCTTCCCGACCCTGCCGTTCACTTCTGCAACATAAATTTGTTTTGTCACTCTTTCCTCGTTCATTCTTTCTACGTGACCAAACCACCGAAGCATTCCTTTCTTAATCCTTGTCACAACGTCATCTTGCAAACCACACTTTTCTCTTATTACACTATTTCTCACCCTATCATTCAGATTCAGCCCTAGCATAGTCCTTAAGGAACGCATTTCTACAGCATTTATTCTACTCTCATGCTTCTTCTGCCAGACCCAACTTTCACTACCATACATTAAAGTGGGTACTAACACAGCATTATGAATTGCCATACGTGCCTTAGTTGACACATTCTGACTCCTCACAATAGCGTGTAGAGCCCCATTCACTCTATTTCCTGCGTTCACTCGTCGTTCTATATCCTTATCATATCTACCATCCCTGCTAAATAAACATCCCAAATATACAAACTCATCCACTTGCTCAATCAACTCCCCTTCTATTCTTATTTCACATAAAGTTTTACTTTCTTCTCTTTCAAAAACCATCACTTTCGTCTTACTTGCGTTCACTTTCATACCCCTTTCTTTCAATGACCAATTCATTAAAGTAACCATCATTTGCAACTCGGCCGCCGACGATGCAAATATGACTTGATCATCGGCGTACAAAAGGCATTTGACGGTTGACTCACCCATTCTCAACCCACATTCTTCAACTTTCAAAGTTTGCAAACAACTGTCCATAAATAGGTTAAACAGCCACGGGGAAGCCACACATCCCTGTCTGACACCTTTATGAATGCCAAACCAGTCCGAGTAGACCCCGTTGATCCTGACACAAGCACTAGAGTCCCTATAAAGAGACCTTAATGCCTGTATCAAGCCAGCGCTCAACCCAAATGAGTTCAGTGTTTGCCATAACACGTTCCTGTCCACTCTGTCATAAGCCTTTTCCAAGTCCAAGAACGCACAAAAAACTTTCTGGTTTTTAGCCAAAAACTTCTCCGCTATCATGCGCATGGAAAAGACTTGATCCGTACACCCCATCCCCTTTCTAAATCCAGCTTGCACATCCCAAATTTTTCCATCAGTTTCTTCCATAACTCTTTCAATTAACACCTTAGCATACAGTTTACCCACAACGCTAAGCAAGCTGATACCACGGTAGTTTTTACAGTCCTGCTGCGACCCCTTTCCCTTATATATTGGGACTATAACGGCTTTGCACCAGTCTTCCGGTACCCGTTTCAGTTCCCAACATAAATTAAACAAGGTGTGCAGCAGGCCTGCAACCACACCCTCACCAGCCCTTAGCATTTCGAGTGATACTCTATCATATCCGGCTGCCTTACCTGCTTTCATGCTTTTTGCTCCGAAATAATTAAAAATTAAAAATTTTGTACAGCCGACTTCAATATAAGCAACTTCAATATGAGTTATTAAGAATAACTCAAAAACTATTGGTCTGACCTTGATCAAATTCATATGGGACCACACGAGAATTACCAGCTTTCAAATAAAAAAAGAATCATCGAAATCGGTTCACCCAGTAAAAAGTTATGAGGTAACACACATAAAAAAACATACAGTCGAATTGAGTACCGTCTCCTTTTTGGAAGTCGGCAGAAAACAATAATAAAATCAATTACGTCTCAACTAAATGAGACATATTTTCAAAATTTAGATTACCCACTTAATACTCATTTATCTAGACCACGTCCTAAATTTGATTTAAAAAAAGTAGTTGAGTCGAAAGTAATGGATGGTAACTTAAAACACGTATTTTATTCTCAGACGACATCCTGGCTCCTCATAATGTCGAAACTCTTGAAAGCCTTCGTCAGAAGCACCTTCGGCCAAACCTTCTCATGGTTTATCGCTGCCTCCCAAGACTTCAATGCATCCTTTACAAATTTCTGAAAAAGACGCTTTAGAAGCAATTATGTCATTTTCGAATGGCTCTGCTGGCGTCATTGACGGAATTACGCCTCAACATCTTAAAGATCTTGTAAGCGCTTCTGCCGGTGACGTCGGCGGAGTACTTCTTAAAGACATTACAAAATTATGTAACTTTATGCTTTCTGGTAATGTTAATCCAAATTTCATTGCATTCTTATATGGGGCAAGATTATGTGCCTTCAAAAAAAAAAAACGTATAACGGTATCCGTCCTATTGCCGTTGGTTCCACATTTCGACGCTTAACTTCAAAATTAGCTTGCAGACACATAACATCTCTAACCTTAAGACCAAATTTCAGCTTACTCAACTAGGCTTTGGCACTAAAGGTGGCTGTGAGGCGGCGGTACATTCAGTGCGTACATTTTTAACAAACTCTGATGCAGATGTTCTTGTGAAGGTTGACCTAAGGAATGCTTTTAGCTCTATCGATAGGGTAACCTTAAAGAAGTGACTAACAATACCCCCGAAATTTATCATTACGTATGGCAATGTTATAGTCAAAATACTAACTTGTTTTACGAAAACCATGTTGTCGATTCCGCTGTCTTTGTTCAGCAGGGTGATATCCACTAGGTCCAGCACTTTTCAGTTTGGGAATTCAACCCATTATTTCAAATTTGAAATCCAAGCTGAATGTCTGGTACCTGGACGACGGTACACTGGGAGGTAAGATCATGACGTCCTCAGTGATCTTACTCGTATTTTTCGAAATTTTAAAAATATTGGTCTTGAACCAAATAGCAATAAATGTGAAATATTTTTTTCCAATAATTTATCTGTTTCTCATGGAGACACTTACCGTGTTTTCATCTTCTCAGACGTTTGCTGGGCCGTCTGTCTGACGTGCTCATAAATGTCATTCATTTTGTTCCGCAAGTCATTTGCATAATCGGTTATACTGCGTGAGGCATCAGGTGGTATTCCGGTGATCAGGTCTGCAGGCAGCCGTAATTCTCTCCCAAAGTTTGCGAAAGCTGGCGTCACTGATGTACTTTCGTAAACAGCGCTTCGATATGACAACAAAAACGGTTGTATGTGCCTGTCCCAGTCTCGTTGCTGTTTTTCCACAACTTTTGCCAGGTACCTTTCCAATGTCTGATTAAATCGTTATACCATTCCATCAGATTGTGGGTGGTAAGAAGTTGTTCGTGTTTTATGAGTACCCATAACTCTGCAAGTTTCCTGGAATATTTGAGACTTGAAATTCCTTCCTTGATCGCTGTGAATCTCTAAGGGTACTCCAAAAAGACAGAAGACTTCATGAACTAGTTTATCTGCAACTGTTGAAGCTTCTTGATTTGGAATGGCGAAGACTTCTGGCCACTTAGTGAAGTAATCCATCACAACTATGAAATACTTGTTACCACTTTCACTTTCCGGAAACGACCCCGCAACGTCAATGGCTATCCTCTCCCATGGTGCACCAACATTGTACAATTTCAACGCGCCTCTACTACGAATTTGAGGTCCCTTTACAGCCGCGCAACTTTTACATTTGCACACATGGCACCAGTCCTCGACATCGTCACGACAGTGGACCCAGTAAAACCGCTCTCGGATCTTCAGTAGAGTTCGTTTAACTCCCAGGTGGCCTCCTGAACAACCACTATGGTACAGCTGTAGAACATCCGGTACTTTAGCCTTAGGGACAACCATATCCAAATGACAACTGTCTCCCCGACCATTTTCCCATTTACGGCACAGGACTACATCCTGAATCAGCCAGCTGTCCCATTGGGCCCAATAGCTTTTCGTGATCGAACTCATTGCTGAGACGTCGCTCCACTTGGGCTTAGGAGCACTGGCCTTCATCCATTCCAGAATCGGCTTAATGTCCGAATCTTCCTGCTGTGCATGTTGTAGGCTGTCTTTCCACTCATTGCTGAGCTGGTCTCTCCTGAGCATTCTCACAGATACCACTTCCTTACCCTCTTGCCTAGTACAATGCTTGCAATCTTCAGGGCAAGGTCATCTTGAGAATGCATCTGCATTGCCATGAGATTTCCCGCTGCGATGTTCGATCACAAAGTCGTATTCCTGCAGTAGTTCAATCCATCTCGCAACTTGTCCTTCCGGATTTTTGAACTGCAATAGCCATTTCAGTGCAGCATGGTCAGTTCGTAAGTGGAATTTCCGCCCTAGAAGATATTTGCTAAAATGCTGCAAGGACTTTACCACAGCAAGCAATTCCCGTCTTGTGACACAATAGTTCCTTTCCGGCTTTGACAACGACTTGCTGAAGTACGCTATCACAATCTCTTGATCACCATTCCCTTGAGACAACACACTGCCAAGTCCTCTATCACTTGCGTCTGTGTCAACTATGAATTCCTTGCCCGCATCATCATCATCATCATCATTACAGCCTTTCATAAGTCCACTGCTGAACATAGGCCTCCCCCAAGGAATGCCACAAAGGCTATATCTGCAAAGTTCTTCACAAATCGCCGATAATAAGAGCACAAATCCAAAAATGCTCTAACCTGTGTCTTGTCTTTTGGGACCGGCCACTCCTCGACAGCAACAATTTTCTCTGGATCCGTGCGGATACCTTCTTCAGACACTACATACCCCAAAAAACTAACTTGCCGTTTGAATAGTGAGCACTTCTTTGGACTCAACTTGAGGTTGGCACTCTGGATCTTCATGAGCACGCGTTCCAGATTTTGAAGGTGTTCCTCAAACGTTCGGCCTACGATGATGATGTCATCCAAATAGACCAGACAGGCATCTCCAATTAGCCCGGTAAGTACAAGCTTCATCAACCTTTCAAACGTTGCTGGAGCATTGCACAATCTAAACGGCATGACTTTAAATTGCCACAGACCCTTTCCTGTGGAGAATGCAGTTTTCTCCTTGTCCTTAGGGTCAATTTTAACCTGCCAGTAGCCACTTTTCAGATCCAGCGTATTAAACCACTTTACACCTGTAAGCATGTCCAGCGTGTCATCAATTCTTGGCAAGGGATAGCTGTCCTTCTTTGTAACGTCGTTCAGGCGGCGGTAGTCAACACAAAACCTCATGCTGCCGTCCTTCTTCTTTACCAGCACCACAGGTGAACACCATGGACTAGATGAAGGTTCAATAACACCATCCTTCACCATTCCCTCAATCATGGTTTCCACTTCCTTTTCACCAGCGGCCAAGAAGATTGCCTGTAGCAGGCAATCTTCTTGGCCGCTGATGAATAGGCAATTCTTGTCCTGTGTTTATTTTGTGTTGAACTAAGCCAGTCTTTCCTATGTCAGCTTCGTTTGACGAGAAAACATTGGCGTACTTGAGTAACAACTTCTTCGCTTTGACCGTTTCATTCGGGGAGAGAACGCGGCGACAGTCTTCTAAAAGTGTGGTCACTCTAGTTTGTCCATCCTTGCTGGGGGTCCCAGTCGATAGATATTGGCACTGACGCAATCAATCCACTTCCTCACTAGTACCAACCAATGTGCCTTTTTCTATAATCTGTTCCTAATCACAAAGGTTCAGCACACGTACTCCTGAGATGTCGGCGGTTCTGACCAAGGTTCGAGCCACTTTCTATGGAAGGTCATTGTCTACCCTTTCCACGAGTACACAACGAAGAGTTTGCTCAGGATTCCGTGGAAGTCTAACCGGCACAATCGTTTCCGATCTCGGCGGAAGAACAATCTTCTTAAGGCTGTACACATTCCCTGGTAACGCCCCTTCCACGAAAAGTTCCTCTTGTCCACATTTCAAAACACCTTGCTTAACGTCGATCTCACAACAATTCTTCCTCATAAAGTCTAGGCCCAGGATGCAGTCGTCCATTATATCAGCCACGATGACATTATGCAGGTAGATCATTTTGCCTAGCTTCAACTCCATCTCCTTCTCTCCACGGACGGGTATGCGCTGACCGGTGGCTGTCACCAAATTAATGCGTTCTCGGTTGTATGCGGAGTCCCCAAGGAACCGACTTATAAGTTGGGAACTGACAACCGTGCGAGAGGCTCCAGTGTCTATGGTCAGTTTACACGGCGTTCCGTTGATTTCGCCCTTGATGATTAGGCTGTTCCCATCATGGGCTTGTGAGGACGAAATCCTTGGGGCTCTTTTAACATCAGCCAGCACCCGCCCCGCAGTCCTGGATTTTACTCGTTTCCCTGCTGCAGCTGGGCGGTGCTGTGTGCACTACCCTCTCGAGATCGATCACCTTCCCTTTCTACAGTTCGTTTAGGGCAGCTGGACGAAGATGGCCCCTTTCCCCACAGCCGTAGCACCTAGGGCTGTAGCCCTTATTGCGGTCCTGAACTGTAGCTGCTGCAACCTCCCTGACGCGGTGGGAACGATGATCCTGCCTCACGGCTTCCACCTTCAGTGCATGGGTCAAGGCGTCCTTAAGTGTCTCGTGGTGCCTGAGCCTCACAGCAGCTCTGGCTTCAAGGTCGCGGATGCCGTCGATGAATGTCTGCACCAGGTTCCCTACAATGAGCGCAGGTACAGACTGGTACGCTTTTCGAACCAGCTTCTCCACCTCAAGGACCCACTGCTGCAGGTTTTCGTTACTGCGTTGCACGCGATCTTTGAGCTGCGCACGAAAGACGTGTTCCAGGTAAGCATCGCCATATCTCGTCTCCAATGCCTCAAGGAGCTGCTCGTAAGTCACTTCCTTACCGAGAGCTTCCAGAACAGTTAATGCCTGGTCGCGTAGGCCTAGGGTGAGAGCAGTCATGGCCTGACTTTTATTCCAGCCGTTCGCTTTCATGACAGCCTCGAACTGGATTTTGTAGGCCGACCAGGAAGAACTCCAATCGAACGGCGACACTTTGAATCCACGTAGCGAAGGTGTTGTAGCTACCACGGGAGCTGTAATTCCATCCCCAAGTTTGAGGTCGTCCAGCGTTTTTTTCACATCAGCCATCACGTTGTCAACCCGATTGTTCACTTGGTCGATTCGGGTTTCAGCTTCCGACAGGCGGTTGTCATGTTGAGCAACCCTATCCTTCACCTCCTTTATTTTTTTCCCGAAGGTAGCGTGAAGGTCCTTCCTGAGGAGCATCTGTTCTTCCATACCGCGCTGCAGCTGCTCTTCCAACCGACGGGTCTGTTCCTCCTGTCGGCGGGCCTGTTCCTCCTGTCGGCGAGCCTGATCCTGCAGCATCATCATCAGAGCACCTAAGTCAGGTGCTGCAGATGCAGGAGCTGCTGACGGGCCAGCCTCCGTGGTTAACAGCTGGCCCTCCGACGTTTGCGGCGTTGCATTACCAAATCGTCTCTGGTCCGTCTCCTGTTGGCGTTGGCTTCGGGTACGGATACCCTCCGTATCGTCTTTAGGTAAAATCGGCATATTTGATCCCACTTCTGACACCAATTGTTACGAGCTTGGGGTTCAAGACAATTAAAAACTGCCGATTGAATTACCAAAATTGACACTTTAATTACACAACACTAATTACAATCTAAAATCACACTAATAATAAAACACAGTTCGACGTTATTTCGCTTCGAAGTATTCTCTTGTATCGCCAATTCAATACTGCTGCCCCGGTCGTGGTCTATACCGGCCTTATATAGGGCCTCAGATAGTTTCCAGAACCTTCTACTGTAGCGACATCTAGAATGTTCGAGTACATATCGGTCCCGAAATTTCTGGAAGGATCTCGACTCTCCTAGTTCTGCTACTCGACACTAGAGGGCGCTAGTGTAACTAGTGTTGCCATGTACAAGACATTAATAGTGGCGCGCAATACTTTCATTTACTCGACACTAGAGGACGCTAGTGTAGCTAGTGTTGCCATGTACAAGACATTAATAGTGGCGCGCAACAATAATTTCAATAGTGACCAAGATAAGGCACGCCTCCTAGCTGTTTCGACTATGGAATCTAGTCTCTGGTCACACGCTTTACCATCAAGTAATCTCTGCACATTACTTGATGGGGAAAGCTTGCGCATTGCCGTAGAAATCCGACTGGGACCGGCGATTTGTCAACCCCTTCGGTGCCACTGTGGTAGCAGCGTCGACAAGTTTGGGCTCCACGGACTTTCATGTAAAAAAAGTGCTGGTATGTTTTCACGGCACAGTTCTTTGGACGATGTCATCCGAAGGGCTCTTGTCTCTATAAATGTTCCCTCGGTTTTAGAGCCTTGTGGAATATTTAGAGACGATGGCAGGAGACCCGACGGTATGGCATTGGTTCCTTGGGAGAGAGGTAAAGCCCTAGTGTGGGATGCTACTTGCGTAGACACTCTGGTGACCTCTCATCTCAGGGATATCTCGTTTCGAGCCGAGGCGGCATCAGAGGCAGCTGAACTGAGTAAGTGGCGCAAATATAAGTCTCTGAGAGATTACTACATATTTGTGCCATTTGCTGTAGAGACTATCGGTCCCTAGGATCCACGTGCGGTGGAGTTCCTAAAGGAACTCCATCCGCGGCTGGTCGTTGGTGCTAGTGATAAGAGAGCTGGTTCTTTTCTCGCTCAAAGTCTAAGTACAGCCATTCAGCGGGGAAACGCGGCCAGCGTTCTTGGCACGATACCGCGGGAAGTAGGACTATATGATAATTAAGTTTCTAGTTTTAGTTTTTTTATTATTATTATTATAAATAAATTAAAATTGATTTCAGCTATCAATTTATTGATGCTGGTTGGTACGAGTATCAAACCCGGTGCGCTTCGCTCGCATACTATGAAAAAAGAAATTTAAAAAAAAGTAGTTTTGATTATCAAGAGTTTTGATTCAAGATTTATGATCCAGATTTGAAAACACTCGACATGATTATGCTATTCAGGTTCCAAATTTAGCGACGAAATATTGCAGTATATGCTAGGTGCAGACTGCAGAGTTGTTTACTTCATTTGTTTCAAGGTCATTATTTTGTCCGAGTTCAACAATCCGAGTAGATATAACCACAGTGTTAATACACACTTCACTTTCTCTACAAAAATATTTGATTTTTGATTTCGTTATAACTCAAAATATTATATACCCGCTATATAACTCGATATAGTAGGTATGTAAGGATTATGCCATCGTCAGTTTCTGGTAATATTAACGAGACAAGATAAACAAACCAAAGTCATACCGTCTGGTGTCCTGCAATCGTTTGAACCTTCGAATGACGTCATCAGAGAATCGTGACGGGACTACCTACTAGTTCTTTTCTTACATGAAAGATAGATAGGCTCATAGGGTAAATATGTGCCACAGTTGCTACGCTAGGCAGGCGCGTTGGTTATTAGCAAGACGCTGCTATCTCTTATCTTACAGGATGTAGGTACTAATTTAGGTAAGAAAATAAGTATAGATATTATTCAAATTGTGTATTGAGAATTGTGACGGCGCGTGCGTAGATTCTGGAAAAAGAAAGAGTTTAATGAACATTGTATATATATTTAAAAATTAAAAAAAAAATCTTAATCATTTTAAATTGAAGGTATGAAAAATTAGGGTCCAATGAGATCCACGACTTTTTCTGCCACCAAGGCGGTGAAATCATAGATAAATAAATATGTAGGGTGAAATATTTGATGGATTTCATAGTGAGAGAAGTTACTTTGTTAGTAAAATCTCAGAATAAATAATATAGAGATTAATGTTCCTTCCTGAAATATTAGTTATACATATTTTATATTATTTATATTAGACATGGATAAAGCATACTACGGATATTCCTAACAGTAGAAGAATTAAAAAAAAAATTGTAAATAAATAAAGAATACAGTACTGAGGCATTGTTTTGTGTATATACTTTTATTTAAAAGGCATGTTTCTAACGATGATGGCAATGTGTGACCATATGCGTACCTAAAAAACAGTGGCGTAGCGTGCCTTAGATAGGCCCTGTATTTATTGGGAGGCCCCAATGAAGAGTAAAGATTTCATAAAAGGAACAAAAACGGTTGCATTGATTTAAAATTATTATACGAGTATATTGGTTATAAGTTATTACTTACAATATTAATTGTAAGTAAGTATTAACTCCTAGGAACTAAGCTAGCCAAACAATTCAAATCAAATATACACTTTTCTTGCCTTTTGTTCGGCGAACATAGCTGAAGACGATTCAGTGGCATTCATAGCTGAAGACGATTTCAGTTTTTCTAAATTCTTTGCTTATATAAACAATATTGATAGCCTTTTCTGTCCCATAGAAGTC